CGTACGTACGTACGTACGTACGTAACGTACGTACGTACGTACGTACGTACGTACTACGTACTACGTACGTACGTACGTACGTACGTACTACGTACTACTACTACTCTCTCTCTCTCTCTCTCTCTCTCTCTCTCTCTCTCTCTCTCTCTCTCTCTCTCTCTCTCTCTCTCTCTCTAAAACCATCAAAAAATTGAGTAGATGGGCCACCTCTTTCTCTATCTCTCTCCCCTTCTCTCTCTCTCCCCCTCTCCCCATTGATCATGGGGGCCGAACATTGTCGGACAGAGAGGAAGGTGTAAGTAGCAATGCGTTCAAATATGATGGTGAAATGCAACCGAAAAACTTTGTCAATAAAAAATTACATTTTTAAATGGTGAATATGTATAAATCCCACATCTGTGTATGTTCATATTAGGTTACTGCATTCGACACTTAGGTAGGAACCAGATTCAACCACCTATGTCTATGTGACACCGGTTGAAATTGACGAAAGGGTAGACTTCCCAAATGCCACAACAAGATGGAACAAGGACCATAAAACAGACTCATCAGTAGACATGCTGAAAAAGGTTTATTAAAGCTGATTTTATGGTCCAAGGGGAATAGAAGAAACAGTACCCGCCTTAGTGAAAAAGTTTGTTATTCATTGAAACCAACTAATGCATGTTTAACGGACACATTCAGCTGGATACATCAGAAGTAACCTACTCAGTGTAAAAAATGGAACAACAGCTGAGCATGCATCACACACAGAGACAAGAACAACCTAAGGACCTCAGATGACAAGCTCAACTATGGCAAGGGTCACATTAAAAGAACTTCTTTAGGAGCCGCATTTAGGATTCAAAACTGGGAGAAGGTGCGAGTGGCATCTATTCTTTGGGAGCTGAAGTTGAATTAGTGATAGCAAGAATGGATTTAGGATATCGGCTGAAGGCTATGTTACATCGACACGGACATGCATGTCTATTTATGACACAGATACGAGTGTCAAAATCATGAACCCCAAAAAACTTCATCTAGACATGACACGTCCGTATAATATGCAAGTATCTACATAAATGCGTGTCTATATATGCATATATTGAGATCTATGTGTAGTTGTGTAAACTACATTTATACATACAACAATTCATGCCGTACAACAATAGTAAAGCATCCATAAAATAAAACTTATTAAATTAATAGTCCATAAAAGGTTGCTTTGTGACTTGTGAGTCAGAATTTTATTCATCAAAATTTATTATAGACCAATCCAAAGTTGCATCCTAACAATATGGAAAAAAAGCTATACAGTATTAGCTAATTATTATTTCAAAACGTAGTACATCCCACTCCACCCTCAATAGGTCCATTTTTTTCTAAGATTGGTTCATCAGACACCACGATCTCAATGTCAATTTTTGTAGGTCCTTATATGTTGTCTTTATTGACGCACACATCCCAATACCTACATGGACTTGTATTCATCTTGCCTCCTAGTGAGCAAAAGGGACAAACCAGTGATCCACGGCTTCCAAAGGGAGAAACTAGTTGAGGAGGACGAAACCCTAACAATTTTCATGACAGTTGAAATAAATCGTATTTTTTATTTATAATAACAATGTTTTATGGAAACCCTAAATTTTTTTTTTTTTGATAAACAAATAAAAATATTTTTTGTTTTATCTAAACTACTTATTTTATTCTAAACTACTTGTTATTTTCAAAATAAATACTCTTCAATGAAGAATGAAGTTTCTAAAAAAGAAACATCACTTTCAAAAAAAGAAACGTGTCTAAAAAAGGGGACAAAGTAGTGGATACTAATAAAAGGTATCGTATGCATGTCCAAGAGTGTCGACACACATGTTAGTGTCAGCCAAGTGTCAACTCATGATTGGACCCCAAGACACGCCTGTCTATGTTTCAAAGGCTGAAGGTAATTAGAAGTTAGCATATATTTATAGTTTAAGCCCTCTCAATCAGTAAAAGAAATAAAAACAAGTTCAGACTGCCTCTACCACACTGTCATAACATCCACTCCAAAATAAGGTTTGTCTTCCATGGAATTGAATGGTCTGTTTCCCATGTTTCCAGACAAGAAAGCCACATAGACAACATCCTCTCATCACAGGCATTCCAGTGCCTGTTAGCAATGTCATTTACCATGGACACGATCCTCTACCTTTAACCACAAGAACTGTGACTGTTGCCAGAAAGCTACATATTCCAGATTTCTAGAGGCAGCCCCTAATCAATTAGCCCTAGGTCATATCTTACGGATGCTAGGACATACGATGTATCCCTATGTTCATCATAAAGGAGTGTGACCCTCATTGAACTGTTTTAATTCATTTAAGGATGTTGCGTAAGCAGCATAAGAAAAAAGAAAAAGACAGACACTGCAACACATTCTGAATTCCTGCTAAATAGTATATAGTAACACCTAATCTGCCCATGATGCACCAGCATGGATGATGCATAGAGCCCCTGTATATAATTTGGTGGCTTACAGATCATCACATGCATCTGTAACTGTGATTGGTTCCCTTTTTACAAAAATTACAATGCTCACAGGAAGAAATGAAAGCAAAAGTTCGATACCCAGAGCACTCGAAATAAAACGCCCAAGGAAAAAGTGACATCTGATCTGGAAAATTTCACATATGAGAGAGACAACACTAAAACTTACTCAAAAAATAACCAACAAGCCCAGCTTTAAGTGTAAGTAATGACACATAGGAATATGCATATACAAATAAAAGTTACCAGACTTATACAAGAAAAAGTAGATGGGAAGTCCCAAATTTCCGATAAAACATATTAAAGGAAGTAATTAATAAAATGATATTATGCAAGTTTATTAATCTCTTTAGTTTACACCAGTGTTCGCACAACCGCCGATCTAACCGCTAACAGCCCAGTTAGATCGGAACCGGCCGGTTCCGATTTTGGGCAGTTTTGGTGATCAACCGGTTTTTTAAATTTTAAATAAATAATACGCCAAATACTTTAGATCGCCATGTTCGTTACTGTGGATGGTTAAAGTTTATAAGGATCGTGGATCAAATCCCGCAGCGTGCAATTGCTTTTTTAAGAAGAATTCATTACATATTACATTTGTTCAGTGGTTTTGTTTTTTTTTATTCATTACATTGGTTCTCATTACATATTACATCCGTTCAGCGGTTTTGTTTTTTTATTCATTACATTGGTTCAAAAAATTTAATTACCCACAAGAATTCATTACATTGGTTCAAAAAATTTAATTACCCACAAGAATTCATTACATTGGTTCAAAAAAATTACTTGCCCACAACTTGAAAGTTCTTGTAAAGAAATCATTGTTATTAAACCCACTAACCATTACACCATTTACTATTTAGTTGCCTATTAGACTCACTAATCAATAGCCATTTACTACGTACTTACAAAAAGAAATGGCCTATATTGTATATAACTTAATGTTTTTCTTCATTTTTTTTTAAAAAAAGAGATGGTCATGTAAATTTTTAACACTATTTTAATATTCTTTTCATTATGGTAAAGATTAAAAAAAAATTTGGCCATTGGTACTCTCTTTTATATTTTCTCATATTTTTCAGAAAATTTTAAAAATATCCCTAGAAACAAATCGATTCGTTAAAATCCATTTTTTTTATTATTTTTCAACTTCATTTGAGAGTGTTTTGTTTTAATCACATTCTTTATATGCTTTTTATATTTTAGTAGATTTTTTTTGTATCTTTGTAATTTTTTTCAACATTTTTTTGATCGTTCAGGACTTGCCCGGTTAGAGCGGTTGAATCGGCCGGTTTACCGGTTAGACCAGTTAAATCGCTTCCAGGCCAATGTCCAGTTAACCGCCCCGGTTCGATTTTGCGAACATTGGTTTACACACACGATCATTATAAAAGAAAGGGCAAAAAGATCCATGTTTATATGAAGACAAAAGGGACTAACACCGTGAAAACATTAAAAAGTACAAGAAAAGAAGAATAAAACATTTCTGAATTCAAATGCATTGAGGACACAAGATTCAATTCAACTATAAACCCATCCTTTGACTCCCTTATCCCAATATAATAGAATGTCTCCCTTATCCCAATATAATAAAATGTTATGATGCCTGTCCTTAAACTCTGAAAGTCTAAAGATTGTACCTCTAGTGGAGGCATGCCAGAACCCTTATGACTATGGGATCCGGTCCCTACCCAAATTCCCCACACCCAACATACATACACCGATACACAAAACACTAAAATAGATCAAGACCATCCAACAGTCAAATATTACAAGCCATAACATTTTCATGTCACATGTGCGTCTCTACACTTGAATACTTTTCTATGTTGAAGCATATGATTTGGGACATCTCAGGTGATGATTGTAGCAAGAAAAATGAATTAAACATGTGCAATTACAAGTAACAATAACTGTCAACTTGCAGGAGAAAAAAGCATAAAAAGCATACATAACCATATAAAATGAAGATCCAAATCAAAAATCCAAACTTCTGCTGCATCAAAAAAGTTAAATAGCAAGATAATTCCCCTATTCTGCTGTGTAACTTCAAACAAAGGGGATAGAGTGAACCTTTAGAACTAATAGAACATATTGAGAGCCCCAAAAAGCATCTCATGCCAGAACAGAGATTATCAAACAACTACAACAAACTTAGGATTATTACCAACTTAGCATACCTCTAGAATCCCAACCAGTTATTGTGTGGCTAGAAATGAAGAATCTAAATCAACGCAATATATTAACTTGATACATCCAAGTTGCGCCTAAGACAAGACCGTTCAACTTTCAAGTACCACAGTACAAGGGCAGCAATCAGGACTACATGTTCCAAATCCTAAAATACAGCAATTGTCATTGCAAAAGAGGGTTTAAGAAGCACAGCTATCATGATAAGATCCAGTCCTTGAGTTAAGTTAGTTCAGTTGATTATTGAGGATGAATCATCGTTCCATAATTCCTCTCAAATTATTCACTTATTGTCACGAAACTACACAATTGGCCAAAGAGCAAAATGATCTCTTCAAATCTCCAAACTCCAACCAACGTTTGAAATCTTGACGAAAGGCCTAACCATTTCCCCCTCCCTTACCAGTCACCACTCATGCAACCTCCAGAACACAGCATCAAACTAAATCACAACACGTCACTAAAATTTTTGGCACCAGATTCAATAATATAATCAAACCCAACATAAATCAATTGTAAAATTATCAAAAATAATGAGAAAAATGAAGCAATGGTCCATTGTTGGATCAAATGTATTACCTGCTCGAAAGTTAACTTTCTCAACAAAAAAAACGCGTTACCTGCTCGAATTCCCGAAGCTCCTGCTTTCTTCAACCCCTTCTTTTTCACAATAAAACTCGCACCAATAAAACAACTCGAGGACAACGCAAGGACCAAACCCTTGACATTGTCAGAAGACATGCCCTTGTAAGAGGGCCAACCTTCTGAAACTGTCGCCATCCAAATCTAAAAAAGCCCCAAACCAAAACCACCACTAAAACTTCAATTCCAAACCACCAGTAGAACTCCGATTCAAAGCCACCATTAAACTCCAACTCTTCTCAAGGTATGAATTAAACCTCGATTCGAAACCAGAGACACCAAAACCCATGAATCCAAACGCTGAGAGATCCAGCAAAAAACCAGATCCACTTACATGCACAGAGCCTCTAACCTCCTATCCATGCGTTCGCTCCTCCATGAAAACTCGATTCATATAACATGCATAATGACACAAATGCAGATCTTGAAAATGACAAACTCTCTCTCTCTCCTCTCTGCAGTAGCTGTCTCTCTATATTCTGTCTCTTCTCTCTCTCTCTCTAATGATGGAGGGAATAATAAGAGAGCAGTGGGTTTAATAACAAAAAGAAGGAAAGGACGAGTAAATGTGGAGTTTCAGACAAGAAGAAGGTGTTGATCGGAGAAATAGAGAGATGTCATTATGATTGCGTCGTATGCTTCGTGAGTGAGTGCAGCAGGATTGATTCGTTAAGACAGAGACAGAAGGGAAGGGAAGGGATAAAAAGTTAAAATTTATCTCTCCTCTCTCTCTCTCTCTCTCTAGGTTCTCCAGGCTTCAGAGAAGTCGGTAAGTGTTGAAGAAGAAAGAAAATGTTGGGATAAATGGAAAATGGGGAGATAAGGAGTTGATATGGGAAACGTTTTTATATTTGCCTACGGCATTGAAAATATATATTTCCTCTTTGTAAAATTTAATTTAGATTAAGTGAACCATTTCATCTTAGATCTGATATTAAATAATATTTTATTTTTCATTTTTCATTTTTTTGTTAGAGAATACATTGTACTTGTCCTTATTCTCTTTTATCCTGGAGCCATTAACCAATACATTACCATTGAGACCTTTCAACCACTTAAAATAAGCAAAAAAAAATTCAATCATGGCTCTTGCAAAACTTAAATTCAATCATGGCTCTTGCAAACCTTTAACCCATGTATTCATATGATTTTCTTTCTACTTTATAGTTTTTTGGAAAAATTAAGTAGATATCTATTATAATACTTTTTAGTTTATGTTATTATACCTATATCCGTTTTTCCAACTTTATAATACTTTTTTAAAAAAATAGAATTGCCCTTTTCGGTTTTTCAAAAACTGATTTTTTACAAATATTTTGTATTTTAAAAACGGAAATCTTTAAGATTTCAAATTTTGAAAAAAAAAAATTTAAGAATTTTGGATTTTGAAAATCCAAATTCATAACTTTTTCGGTTGTTGAAAACTTAATAATTTTTGTGCTAAAACCCGTCAAATAACATTATCCTACAAGCATTTTTTCTATATTTTAGGGCTCCAAAAAAATTTCTCTCCCCTACTCTTCCACTCAACCTCTCAAAGTCCCTCTCTCTCTCTAATCCGAGAACTTGAACATATTTTCTCCCTGTCAAGTTATGATTGTGATGCAAATAATATTAGGGTTATTTTAATTGTGATGCAAATAATATTAAGGTTATTTTAATTTTTTATTATTCTTTAGTTTATCTCTTCAAAAATAAGAAAGGAGGTGTGCAAGGATATTTGTGGGCATTGAGTTCGTGTGTGAGTTGATATTTATGGATTTGAATTAATTAATTATTGATTGATTTGGGTTAGTTAGTTTGGAATATAAATAGTTAGTTTGGAATATAAATAGATAAGATTAAATTAGAGGAGGTAGTTTAGGAATATAAATAAGATAAGGTTAAGTTTAGAAAGAGTTTATCCTTATCAAGGATAATCAAAGGCGAGAATTAAAAAGAGAGAAGATAGATACGAATTAAAGAGAGAGAAGATAGGGAAAAATTAGCACATGATGTTAAGTGAGAAAAAATTGGGAAGAAGAGATAAAATAGGAAAAGTATAAAGAGAGTTTTTTTTGTTAACGTTTATATTATTTTTTAGTCTATTTAAATGAAGGTTTCATTTCATTATAAAAAAAGGTGAAAGAGAAGATATACATGAATTAAAGAGAAAGAAGATAGGGAAAAATTAGCACGTGATGTTAACAGAGAAAAAATAGGGAAGAAGAGATAAAATAAAAAAAGTACAGAGAGAGTTTTTTTTGTTAACGTGTCTGTTATTTTTTAGTCTATTTAAAGGAAGGTTTCCTTTCATTGTAAGAACAGGTGAAAGAAAATAGGGAAGAAGAGATAAAATAGGAAAAGTATAGAGAGAGTTTTTTTGTTTTTTTGTTAATGTTTATCTCATTTTTTAGTCTGGGAGGTTTCCCTTCATTGTAAGAAAAAGTGAAAGAGTTAATAAAATGTTGCGTTAAGATATTATCTTGGGGTGGATTCCCTTGCAGACCTTGAGATAAGGTATATTCTCTCAACATTATGGTGGATTCCATTGCAGACCTTAAACGAGGGTATATTCTCTTAATATTTTCTTTTTATTTTTATGGTGTTATTATTTCTTTGCATCAATTTACATCAATTGGAATCATAGTTGCATTAGATTGTCACATTTCTTACTCTTGCCTTATACTGTTGAGTAAATTTTTTTGAATTAATATTTGTTAATTATCTTTGAAGTGGATTTATTTTGGATAAATTTTGATTGAATAATTGATTTATTTACTAGTACATTGTATTGTTCAGACTTGCCTCATGGGCAAAGCCAACACACCATATCTATTACGTAAAACTCATACTTTATGAACCTTCAATTAGTTATATATCCCATTTTTTTTATGTCTTATTTTATTTATTGTCTGTAACGCAAATTTTGGTATTTATTTAATACAGTTCAGTAAGGAACATGACATAGGAAAGTATCATGTACTTCTTCATAAATTGATCAATACAAAACATTCAAAAGTATAAAACTGCCCAGATTCCAAGAGTATCTGGGGCAAATTCCATTACATTAAATAACACATAATACAATGCCAATTGTACATAAGAAGATAAAACGAAATTAGGAGTCATCGCCTTCTCTTGGGCTGATATTGCTTCTTTCAGGTATTATACCTTCTGGACTATTTAACCACAGGCTGTGTGGAAGGGGCCAGGTCTTTTACAATACGACTACTTTTACCCTTTACACCACTTCTAAGCTCATCATGCACCCCTTCAACATTCATTTCATCATACACCTCTTCAGCATTGGTTTCCTCATGTACCCCTTCAACATTTATTTCACGTTATAAATTTGTCATCCTGACTTCTATTTCATCAAGGTCCACAGGCATATACTTGGACATAATTTCAAACACATTGGTAACACGATCCATAACTTTTGGATTTCACTTTTGTCACAAGGCCAATGCTTCTGTTATCAAAGTTGTATTAACTTGAACTTCATTAACCAGCAGAAACAAGATATGTAAGTATAGTACTAAAACAATTTTGAGAGACTAATACGTAAGTATAATACTAAAATAATTTTGAGGTAGATAGAAACATACAATCTCGTCATTATAACATCAAGGTCTCATAATATATTATGGTTCATGTACATGATCCACCTCTTCTTCTTGTTGGTTACTAGGTTGCGTTATATCCTTTGATGGGTTTGCGACATTGTGGATTATAAGATGAGTGACTCCGCGATACCAGGTCTTGTATTCCTATGAGGGCAACCTATTATTTTCATCAAATATATGGCTCGACAATGTCATCAAATATTAGGTTCGTTATGCACATTGCAGTTTGGAATGCCTGCGCTCTACCCTCTAAATTGATATCAATAGGCTTGAAATAGGGATTACATATTACTTGTCATATGATTTAAAATCTCACATACAACAATCAGTCAACAAACACTGCAAATACTTCAAAACAACTAAAATCAATCCAAATAACAAAAGACTTAATGGGAGCCAGCAGCTTATGTGAATTGCCATAATAATTCTTTGGCGGTTTCCATTTTGGTTTTTGAAAGACCGAAAATGAGCAATTCGATCTTTAAAAAAAAAAAAAACATTATGATGGTGAAAAAAAGAACATATGTGTAATAATATAAACTTTCAGGTATTTTCATAATAACGGAAAAAATAACAGATATTTACATAATTTTCTCGAGTTTTTAGTTTGTATGATATATATATATATATATATATATATATATATATATATATATAGTAGTAGTACTTATAGGTTTACGTTACGTTAGTTAGTTTAGTTTTACG